TATATGAAGCATGCCACAGTGCCATATTATTAGAAAAAAGGCATAGATCAAGTGGGGGCAACTGTTAAATGCTGCTTTTTTAAAATAAATCACTAAATGTTATATTTTAAAAATTATCCTTACTTCATCTTCAGTTACTTGTTCACTTTATTAACACAATTTTATTTTCTTAATCTTTGCTTTTGTTAGTAAAAACAGCACTGTTTCGCTACACAGAAAAGAAAACCTGGTATATTCCACTGTCATGCATACATCATGTTAGCAACTGGACTTAATTAGTACACAAGCATAATTATTCTTTCATTATATTTTATTATGTAAACAGTCTACAAGATGTTGCTATAGCCTTTTAAGATTTTACTCTAGTTTGCTATACTCATAATTACATTACTGTATACAGCAAGTTGGCTCTGGAGGCATTCTTCAGATCTGTAACTGGGAAGTGCCCCTTTTGAAACTCACCTGGGATACCAGCTATCCCGATTGAGGTTTTCATAATTTTTCTCAGTCTATTCAGGAATACTCTGAATAGGTCATAAGCACTTCCAAATTCCTTCCAATTCACTATTCACCAATCACCGTACCATTCAAAGCCATAAATTTTTTGTTACTTACAGCCTAATTAAATAAGCCACATAAAAATACAATACTTTGTGTTTTTTCATCTTTTCAGAACAGAACATTTTGGGACTTTCTTAAATGACTTTCTTTGGTATTTTAAAGACATTAACACAACGCAGAACCTATTTGACACTAATGACAGGTACTGCTGGACATGTGGTTACGACTGAAAAATGTGGAGTCAAATGACCTACAATTTCTTAAACAACTGAATAACAAACATTCTTTCTTTTGAAAACCTCCTGTCATGTCTTCATCAACAGAACACTCATTACAAAGTTACTCAACAAAAATCCAAAAAGAGCCACCAAGCTCATATGTGGAACCTTGTACAGTAGTGACAAAATAAATAAAGTAAATCTTCACAAACTGTGAGGATCTCATTCTTGACAACAATGAAGACTGACTAAACCAAAGTCTTATGGGAAACTGGAAATTTGAAGAAACATCACTGCTAACACTTATCAAAGCCTATGTACAANGTGGAACCTTGTACAGTAGTGACAAAATAAATAAAGTAAATCTTCACGAACTGTACATGTACATATAAAATTTGTTAGAAAACATGAAGGCAGAAGCCACTGAGGCACACAGACACAATGAGGAGGAGGAGGAGGAGGAGGAGGATACAAAACTCTATCTTATATAAACAGAACATGTACATGTGAATGGGATTTGTTGACTTCTTTATGTGTATACCCAAATAAAAAACACTGAACACATAAAACAAAATACTGTAATTTGAAAAACTGCACAGGGATGTAAAACGGTAGATCCTTAAGTCCATGGTTGGCAAGGGATTTCTGTATATTTACATGTATCATGACTCACCTTGCAGATCCAGATGACAAGGTTTCTGTGTGCAGACATGTTCACTGGCAATTTGTTGCAAACTGTTTGAGAACAACGATTCCTGTGAGAACATTAACAAGGAAAATATGAAAACAAAAGTTTCATAATTTTAAAAGATATAAATAATATTACGTCTTTATTAACATTCTCCAGACTAAATTGTATTGCAAGGTTCCAACTTCTTCTAGTAAGCTAACAAACAGAAAGTCAAAACTGACATACTTCATTTTCTAACAAATCAGTTCTTTGGAAAACTAGGAAAATATAATGATCTGAAAATCTAACTTGTCATGTTGATGAAGGCAGGTGCAGACAAAATATTTCCCTGTTTTCCTAGAAGAAAGGTAATGCTCAATGATCAGTTCAGGCATGCACACAACCAGATTTTCAATGACTGGCAACCATTTTTCACATAAATTACTGTTACCATCTTCAGGGGTGTTCTGGCATCACATGTCAAAAATAAACAGTGAGTGGTAAAATCAGTTATCATTATCATCAAGAAAATATAAATTATGAGTAAAGCCAGAGATGTGTTTCAAGTACTGCCATTTAATTACTGCCTAGGATCAAGCAACTTATGTATATTTCACCTTATCAAATTGCTCCTTGTCTATAAGAATGTCCCCAGCACTTAGAAAGATGCGTAGTTTGTCATTCAGCTTTGGGTCACTCCACTGTTGATCCTGATATGGAGACACTTCCTCGACAAGAGATCTGAATTTGTCCCCATATGCCTGTTCTTCCTGTATCTATGCTCAAACAATAACCACACAGCAAAATGAGCATCTTAANGGTCTCTTCGCTTGCAGATTTCTTATATTTTTTCTTCTACCCTGAAGATGGAGGCGATACGTTCCTCCGAAACGTCGGTTAACACCACATATACACGGTGCCAAATCCCAGAAGACTGCTTTCCTCATAGTCACCGCAGTGAAAGCCTCAAATCTTACTTCTTACATTTCCACAAATGTTTCATGGCGTCTTTCTGCCACAGGTGGACTCTAGCCAGCGGAGCAATGCTGAGATCATGGATATGATTTAATATAGGAGTGGGTCACTGGTGTCCACAATTTATGAAAACCAGCAATTTTTTATTTATGGTTTATTCAATAAGTATAGTTCTGCTTTATTGAATTAAATATCCATTTCACTTTTACCCTACTAGAAACGGCTTATTGATTCAGCAATGAAATGATAACATAAAACTATGTCAGCAGACCAATGCCATAAATTCTAAAACAGTCTTACAAGTTACAAATTTGTACTGATGTGTCACTTTGCTCTATAACTTTCCAGAATAAAGCATGGAAAAATTCTCAGGCTGAGCTTCTCTTTGTAATTCTCTGATGCTCAGGCCATGAAACGTTCCAAAAATCTCACAGAAAAGATAAAGGGCCCTTGCCTCCATCATGAATTAAATCGCCAGCCATCCAGCCCACAGCAAGTGACCTTACTACCTGAATTATCCTGGTAATAGTGACAATAATCACAGTAATATTAACATTCATAATTAACTAATTTACTGCATGGGGCACAGTTATACTACAGAAGCTCAAAGTCATTCAACCTGTGCCCTTTATGAAATCGAAAGGTTCATTACTATGTCACAAGAGACAACAAGTTATATTACATCAACATCCTCACAAATTACTTGAATAAAATCCATTTTAATAATAGATCAGGAGCTGGAATAGCCAAGTCAGTATAGCACTGAGTTATGGGCTGGATGCCTGAGGTCCAATTCCTGACAAGGGCAAGAGGTTTTTCTCTTCTTCACAGCATTCAGACTGGCCCTGGGACCCACCCAGTATCCTATCCAATGGGTACCAGGGACTCTCACCCTCGGGATTTAAAGCAGCAGGGGCGTGAAGGTAGCCACTCACCTCCATCCAGTACCGACATCAAGAATGATGGAGCTATATTTCTACTTCCACCTGCATCTTCATGGTGTGGTGCTTAATAAAGCACAGGGACATCACTTACTTTTTACTAATAGCTCTTCCAGATGGTCTCTTCCTTTAGGTTTACTGACTACATTTTTGTATGCATTTTTTATCTTCCCCTTACAGTGCTACATATTGTGCCCATCCTTCCATCTTGGTTTGATAAAGCTAATAGTGAAGAAACTATAGTGCAAACTATAAAGGTCCTCAGAAAGTAGTGTTAATTAAACAGCATTCAAGTAAATTACATTAAAATATGTAACTAGTCACCACAATACAGATACAGTTATCCATAGGCTTTAATCAATTAAGCACCAGGCCATGAAGGCGTATGGGTGAATGGAAGTGACTGTCAGTTTCACGTCCCTGATGCATTAACCCCAGGAAGATGGCCCCCAGTACCCCACTGTATAGGAGACTAAATGGGCTCAAGAGCTGATCAGTACGTTACAAAAAAAATACTTGTACCTACCGGGAATCGAACCCCGACTCCTCAGCCTTCCAGCCCGTAGTCTAGTCACTATACCGAGTTATCCCCGACTACTAGTCATCATTAAGGATACATGGAAATAGGGGGCTGACGTTATTAATAGGCCTATTAATAATATTTGTGCCTATTTTCACATAACCTTCTAAACTGCTGACGGACGCAAGAAAATCCTTCTGCGCAACTCCTCCGAGTATTCGGGGGGCCTGGGAAGGAACGTGTAAACCAGTGATCTGTGGTCTAAATAGGTGCCTACATTGTTTACACAGCGTTCTATTGCTTTCTTGCTGGCGACATGTGCAGTTAGTTACTATAGGATTCTGACGATCGTGTATAACACACAGAGATATTGGGTTTTCGGACTTTTTTGGGCCCAGTGATTGAGGCTAGCTCTTTCTAGGGGACCCAACAGAATAGGTGTTTTCCCTCACCTGAGGACGGAAACAGATCCAGTTTCCGAAACGTCGTGTTTTTCTTGGTTATCTTAAAACCAGGACGATGGATAAAGTCCGAAACCCCAATATCTACATGTGCGGTTGGTTTGCATCCTTCCATCTGTTGCACCTATCTCGTAACAACAAAAATACTCACGTCACTTACCTTGTTCAGAAGTGCAGTGTCAGGAACGTCAGGAATATTTGACCTTGTCCGAAACGCCCACTCGGATTCTGCTGTCTTGTAACATTGTTCATCCAGGTCAAACTCGCCAAGCGAGACGTGTGTGTTTGCGCTTTCCTCTTCAGCGTAATCTGCGACCGCTACACAAACGACGACTATAACCAAAAAGTTTTGAATGTTCACCATTCTATTCGCTTCGCTGAACGCTGCCATCTGACGAGTTCTGTTCCGTGCTTGCTACTCAGTGCCGGCGCTTGCTATCTCTCTCTGTCATTCCTCCTCGCCTTTGTACTGCAGAACGGCCAATTCTGAAAACATTAAATTCTTACCTGTTCATCGATTATCTTTTCAAGATACTGTCTGAAACTACTTGGTCACGATATAAAATTAACGAATATATCGATATTTATCTAACACAAAGAAACGTTAAGAAACATACTCCTTTAATAAAATCGTACTTTTAAGTAATTTCCACGTACCCTTCGGTCATTATTACGGAATCGGTCGTGTAATATCTTTCCTCACGTCAGAACTCACAAGGAGGCTACCGTAAGCTCTGCTGTGAAACACGCTCTTCTCTCGAGTCCGTCTATCCACAGTGCATCTTTATAAAAGGATTCATTTTGTGGGTCGCTAGAGGTAGGTAAAATTTCGACATACAGAATAAATTTAACTTTCGCAACACATTTTTAAAACTTCTCTACACATTGAAGTTTCGAAACACGTTAGGCTGCCGCAGTAAATGTTCACTTTCAAGAACGCACGATTGTGGACACTACTGCTGCCTTCAGGTAACGACACATACAGTGTTTGTATTCAATGTAAGAAAACAAGTATTACACAACCCACACACACACACACACACGATTACGTGTACAGTTTACGGTTAATGCATATGTTCTTACCGTATTTACTAAACGTCAGAATACTAAGAAGGGCGCAATTTTATAAAAGCAAACGTGACATGTGGATATAATTTCTCAACTTTAGGAGGAAAGATACGTTAGGATGTAGCTAAATCTACGTTGTTGAAATGTAATCCTATCCATATTAACGAAATATAAATAAATAAAATGTTAAAATATGAAGTTATTAAAAATCATAAATCGAAATTCCTTAGTGAGTGCGAACAAATACTCATCTTCATTAAACTGGCTAGAGGAAGAATAATTAAACAGATAAACCATCAAATATCAGTGTGCACTGATACCGTATTCTGCTACGCACAAGTAGCGCTGCATAACACCTCCGAACTTCGATTCGTTGTTCGTCAGACTGTACTCGGTTAGCGCTCGGGTACCGGTAGACGTTTCCGTTCGATTGATCACGGGTTCCTGCCGGCTTGCACGTGAGGTCGTGAAACTTGCGCTCCTTCAACAGCGACGAGAGCGATGCCTCGAAGTGACACACAATTTGTCAATTCATAATTCAAGACGATATCGGTAATATAATTTCTATTTCAGAACTGTTATGGTTGGGAAACTTGGTCTCCCATCAGAAGGGAATAACGTTATTTTGAGTGTGTTTGAGAAGAACGTGCAGAGTACATTACTTCGACCTAAGAGAACGAAGTAACAGAACGATGCAGAAAACTGTTTGATATGGAGCACTGTAATTGGGATTCTTTACAGTACGTTGTTAAGCTGACAAAACCGAGGGAGATGGAAGAAATTAAAAACAATTAATTCCATGGAGCCGAGTCCTTCAGAAGCCAACAGTAGCTCAGATATTCGAGAACTTTCCAGTATTTTATGGAACCCGAAACTCAATTACCGTGTCCACAAGGGCCCGTCACTCGTCTCTATCATGAACCAGATGAATCTAGTCCAAAACACAGTCCTATTTCTCTAATATGCGTTTTAACATTATCACCTCATGTAAATCTGGGCCTTCCTAGCTGTCTCTTTTGCTTTTCTGAATGAATTCCGCTTCTCCCCGATGTGTACTACATGCTGTGCTCATCTCATCGTCCTTGACTTCATCATTATAATTATATCTGGAGAGGAGTAAAAATTACGAAGCTCCTCACTGTGCAATTATCTGCAGCCTCCCTATTATTTCACCACACTATGGTCCAAATATTCTCCTGAGCACCCTGTTCTCAAACACCCTGTCTATGTGCTTTCCTTAATGTCAGAGAGCAAGTTTCACACCCATACAAAACTATAGAAAAGATTATATATAAAACATTATTATTATTATTATTATTATTATTATTGTGTATCTCTATGTACTCGTGCCAACTTTGTAATTGATCTTTGTGCTATTAAGTTTGCACACAAATAAACACGAATTGAATTTAATTATTATCACCACCATCATCATCATCATCATCATCATACGTTTCATTTCTCAATTAAATATTTACACGTTTCATTTCTCAGTTCTCAATAACAACTTAAATTTATGTTAATAAAATAATAATTATTATTAATACTTTGTTTGTTTATTTATTTCTATGTATTAATAAGTTTTCTTCCAGTGCTTGCCTTTAATTAGTTTTTGACTTTATGTTGTGTTTGTCCATAATGCAATTACCTGTATCACACTGTGTTGTGTCTGTAATTAGCCTTGTAGCTGTTGACTCGGCACATAAATAATAAAGAATTGAATTGAATTATGGCTCTATACCCCTATGTTTGACCTTGGTAACTTTTTCAGTTTCTTAATCCTATACACAGTTGGTAGGACCCCTTGGACGGGGGATCAGCCCGTCGCAAGGCCACTACCTACATACAGAACAACACAAACACAGATTAAACACAAACAGACATCCATGCCTTGAGTGGGATTCGAACCCACGATCTCAGCATTCGAGCGAGCAAAGACAGTTCATGTCTCAGACCGCGCGGCCGCTGGGATCGGCAGTGTAAAGCATAATACTGGCATAATGAATCAACCGTCATTGCAAGCCTTTCGAGAATAATAATATAGAATTTATTACTAACAGGTCAGAAGGCCTGATAAAAATGTAGAAGAAGAAGAACTCTTTACTAACGTACACATTGTACCCTGTACTCTGAAGTTTCGAAGAAATTAAACGATTTGTATACCTAGGTCTGTATACTGACCGACACTGATGAATTGTGAAGTTCCGTGAGTTATGGGGGCTTAGGAGAGTGCTTCTGAATATTTTGCGGAGTGAAACAGCTGTTTTGTATAATAAGCTGTTAAATTAACATTATCTGAAAGGAAAGGATAACCATGCGCGTAGCAGTCGGGTTGTCTGACTTGCGGCTACATCGATTTCTTATTAATTCGAGATATTGAGAGAGATTTTATTCGATATGAACACGTCATAACGTACTGAAATGAAGTAATTCCTTCTCGGACTTTATCTCCATATGACCCTTGCTACAATGACACTCATGCTTTTGTGACGTCACGAGAGTAATGTTCATGGCTACCTAATATCCACACTTAACAGGCAATATGACGCCATCCTCTGTATTTAACTTTGCAACGCAATTAAAAATTTTTGTATAAAACTATTCTGCACATGAAGTTAAATTAATCGACTGATTGGAAGCAAAATTCCCGGAATTTCGTAATTCGATAAACAAAGCTGGATTGCAGTACCAGCAGTCACTGTGGAGTGGATAACAGTTTCCTTGTATTCAAATCGCGGTCCGGCTAACAGCTGACGATTGTGATATTCCGTGACGTTCTTAAGGTACGATTATATTAGCCGATTTGGGCTGATCAGCGGTCGAACCAGGCGACATCATATAGCCTGATCGAGAGCTGTAAACGTTCACACTGTCAACACTGCCTTCGGCAAGTTATCGGCTTAAGTTCTCAGTTCGTATTAAAATGGCCGAAAAACGAATGTTGTGCAGTGTTATCTACAGAACTGCTCGCAGTTCAGAGGAAGAAAAACAGACGATGCCTTTGAACCAGGAACTGAATCTCACCTTGGAAATCTCTCGGTGCATCAAGTGTACTCTGGAATTTCCTAACGAAGATCCTGAATCTTTCAGAAGCTACTTCAGGAACATGTCGGTCAATTTCTGAGCACTCTTAGAAAACCTTTCTTCATCATTTCAAAGGAAATATACCGATTTGCGAGAAGCTTTGCTAGCAAGACTGTAATTACGAATAGTTTTATGGTCTTTTGCTAGAGGAGGCTATTCATCTTCAGCTGCTGTACATAGCGTACCAAGCTGCACAATAACAATGTTTCTACTTGAAGCACTACACACTACAGAGCCGGGATAGCGTAATCGGTATAGGGAATGGCTATGGGCTGGACCACCAAGGGATAGGAGTTCGAGTCCCGGTAGTGCCAAGAATTTTCTCTTCTCCACGTCGTCCAGACGGACTCTGGGGACCACCCAACCTCATATCTATTGGATACCGGGGGCTCCTTCCTTGGGGGTAAAGAGGCCGGGACGTGAAACTGACCACTCACCTCCAACTAGTGCCTAGGTAAAGAAAATGTGGATCTATACATCCACTCCCTCATACGCCTTCATGGCGTAGTGCTTAATTGGTTAAGTACAGGGACAACTTTACCTTAGCTTAACTACACACCGCATATGAAGCGCTCAAGATTACGTTGCGGTAAGTAAGAAGCAGGGGTATGTCAGTCCACGTAGTGTCTGGATGGCCGGGGGTTTGATTCCCGGCAAGAGACTTTTCTCTGTTTCACAGTGTACAGACTGGCTATGGGGTCTACGCAGCCCTCTATCCAATGTGTATGGGGGGGGGGTTCTTTCCAGGGAGTAAAGCTACCAGGCGTGAAGCTGACCAGTCTCCTCCAGCTAGTGCTGAGGTCAAGAATGGCGGAGCTATAAGTTCACTCCACCATGCATCTTCATGGCATGGTACTTAATTAAGCACAGGGACAACTTCACTGCTTTAAAGTTAAAACTATCCCTGCAACAGGCCGTGGAGGCTCATAGTGTTGTGAGACGTCAAGGCTCGCATATTTGCTAGACAGTCGCCTCACAGATGGCGCTGAGGTTTTGAGCCTTACGCGCCGGTCGCCCTTTACCCCCAGAAAGATTCCTGGTACTCATTTCTGTTAGAAGCTGAGTCGACCCCAGGGCCACAGTACGGATGGAAGGATTAGGACAATTGAAAAGTCCAGTGAACTCATAAGAAATCGAACCCGCGACCTTCCGGCTTTTAGCATAGTGTCTCAACCAGCTACGCTACCGCGTGTCCAAACTTCTCCGTTTTACCTTTCACAAACTGAATAAATAAATAAATAAGAATTATTGTTCTCACAGTATTGTCACTAATGTAATTCCTTACTGGTAGTATAATATAAATTTTATCAAACGTTACCCATTTAAGTTTTTTGCACTTAATATGGCGTCTCCGCTGTAAAATCGAGGCTCTCAGCAACCTGACTCAGAACGTACCCTTAAACGCGCTGCAAAGGAGGACAGGGTCAAACTCACTTGCGTCTCGGTGCTTGAGGAACTCCGACAGTCTGTAAAAGTATGCGAATATTTGGCATTGGTTAAAGTTTTCGTTCCCTTTGTTAACCCTTTCAATTGAACTTAGTTTGAATACAGCGGTTTCAATTGGTGTGATTCTTCACTCAGACGTACACGAGGAGGACGACCTTTGGCCGAGTTAAGCAGTTTTCTTGGTGCTTGGTCTACCGTTGGACTCTCAGGCGCATATTGAATTGGACAGTCCATGCTGGCTTCGACATTCTTTCCAGCTGTGACGCATGCAGGTCTGGTACCGCCTGCGCAATAAAAAGATGTTTCACCTGTCTCGTTTTACATTATTAATCTTGTCAACATAAGAAATTATGTGTGGAAAGTGCAAATAGGCAATAAGAAAACAATCTTTCCCCACAGAAATACGCT